TTTGAAAAAGGCCAACATCATGTCCTGACAAGTTAGCATGAAAAGATTTAGCAAGATGGAGAGTAAGCTCGATTTTTTGAATTTTATCAGTGGATCAGGTTATTCTCATCATGCTTTAATCTGATCTTCTTTCCATGTAGGAACACAAGTCGTAAGGATCCATTTCCTTAAAACCATTTCCAAAAAAAAGTAAAATAAACAAACAAATCTGATATTTTATCATGTGGTGTCAGATTTGATAAAAAATATCCTTTTTCAAAAGACGTTGTTTGGTTGCTTTCGCTAACGCGCCCCACACACTGAGAATTTTATTCACAATTCACAGGTGAGGACCACCTAGTCCTTTGTAGGCTTTATACAAGTGGGAGGTGCCTTGACAACAATGCAATAAATAAACCCCAGAGCTCCCGTGCTCCCCCTGAGATTTCATTGCATCATCATTTCGTCGGAGTGAACAGTCGGTTCAGCCTTTTTGTACACTAAAGGATGGTGAGAAAAATGTTTTAACATTCAAGCCCTTAAAGGGCTGTGCGTGTGCGTGTGTGCGTGTGTGTGCGTGCGTGCGTGCGTGCGTGCGCGTGCGTGCGTGCGTGTGAGGATCTTCAATGATTATTGTTGCTTTGACACGTCTTATAATCATTAAATGTTGATAATAGTCACGCATCAATAGTTGTTTATAAAAAATTTGCTTGTTTTGTTCCTTTGGAGTCGGTTATTGTATTGTTGTGAGTGTTGTGGGAAGAAATGAAAAATTTTTTCGTGATAATCCATTTGTGCGACATTCTGATTTTGAAACATTTGTCTCGAAAAAATGGTTAGTGTCCTTCTGTTCCACAAAGGGTTTTCAATACCGATATTTTCGGTTTCTGCAAAGATTTCTATTAGAAACAATGATTCTGTCTGTCGCTTGTTTTTATATACAACATGATTAAATTCGTGGAACATTAAAATCTTTTTTCCCCATCATTGCAATATTACATAAAATCATTACTGAAATTAGTATGTGATTTTTTTTTTAAATGTTAATAAATTAACACATTTCAATGAATCTTGTTTCAACATATGTACTAATATTAACAACGAATTCTTTGCTTCACATATAAAATTCGTTGAAAATTTTGGTATAAATAGTCCCCATAGATTCGTTGAAAAGAGGTTTGACTGTAATGATTAACATGTCGTTACCTTTACTCTCACTCGCTATCTTCCCAATTAATCATATTAACTGTTAAGGATTTAATCTGCAAATATACACGGCAAACCTTCAAAATTTTTTTTTTGTTAATGTACAAACACCTGGTTTTTTTTAATTGTAACATGACTGTGGCTTTAATGGTAAATTAGCAACGTTTGTTGTATCCAAATCATAATTTCAATTTGTACTTACAAAACTCGCACATATAAAATTTTGGATGACATTTGTATGTAATGTGTGGGTCCTATTTTTGCTATAAATTCCGCAGATTTTATTTAGTGATATCAGCCGATAAATACTTGGCCAACCAGGTATGAACTTATTACCAAAAAATCAATTATTTTTATTGTTTATCAAAAATCTAAATAAGAATAATATCATTTTGATAATTATCATTCAAAAAATATCATGGAATCTCTATATACTAAATAATAATTATCTTGATATGTTATTGTTCCAACTTTCTATTGTGATATAATTAAACCATCAGAACCAATTAGAAAATTTCCAGAATTTACAAAAACATTTATACCATTGTAATCTTCACTATTATAATAATATGTTGATTTCACGAACCAATTTATCGTTTGTATCATCCTTACTTATATATGAAAAATTGTGTAAAGAGAATTTATCAAGATAACCATCAATCATTATTAAATCATTATTTGTAATAAACATTCATTGTGTATTTTACCATTAATTATAAAATCACTGTATTTTTTTTTTGTAAAGTTAAGAAATTCTAAAAAGTTAATTTAAAATATTTTATATTTAGTCATTTTATATTTAATTATTATTATAATAATAAAATATATAAATCAATCAATCAATAATTGCTTACTATAATGACTATGGTATCCATCTCCATTACACAAAATTATATATTTGTAATCAGAAATATCTTTTATAAAAACATCCAAAGATTTATGCTCACTAAAATCATCTTTGGAATAATTAAAGCAATCATCTTGCTGGATAGTTCCTTTGTCAAGATCAACTGTCCATCCAACAATAGATGAATCTTTCCTACTATGAGTTACAAAAAACTTTAAATTAGAACTATATTTTATTTCATCAATATGACATCCATTATGTGGATCAATTATATTTTGTTGCTCAATCATATTATTAGTATCTGTTGTTGTAGAATTACTATATCCATCTTCATTAATTGTTATTTCAACACTATTATCACTTGTGTTAAAGTTGTTTTTTGCCATTTTTATTCGTAGTAAATTTTTCAATGTGTGTATGAAAAAATTTGTAAAAGATATTTGAAGAAAAAATAATTTTCATTAAAAAGAGATTTGTATGCTTATATTAATTTTTTAAATCGTCTGTTCTACAGTTATATCATAATGGCGTACATCTACTTGTCGTAAGTAATAGTAATCTTCGTTTGTTCTATGATTGATAAGAGCACCTTTATACAGTAACTTGTTAACAAACATATATAATATATATTGAAATTAGATAATCGAATTTTCAAAATATAGGGTTTTATTAACGAATTTGTACATATTGTTGATATTATTGGGACTGTCTGTGTGAATGAAAAAATTTAATAGATTGTTGGGAAAAAAATGTCCGTTATAACGTCGATCATTACTATTACATGTTAAAGTCACGTACGACTTGCTTTCTTTGCTCAAAGCAGTTAAAGATTCCCTAATCGAATTAATTCAAGAAATTTAATTTTAATCGAGAATGTTATTTCATTATTTGTTATTTAATTATTAAGTTTTAAATAACCATTTGAATAATCGTAAGTTTTATATGAATAATAATATTATCATTATATGGAATGGTTTCCAGATGCAATCTGGTCGTTGTACAGTATACAAACTTTGATTAATATTATATTATGTTATAAAGAGAGGTTTCAAGTAATAAAAATATGACAAAAATTTAGTTCGTTATAGAGTAAAATATGGTATGGAAAGATTCGTTACTATTTTCACTGGTTTCGTTTGCATCAAGTCATTAGTTGAAACAACAATAACTTTCATGATCGAAGTTGATGAATATACGAAGAGGTGATTTTAAGAAATTTTTTGTAGGGTGGCTAAGAAGGTGGCTGTGAATATATGTATGTATTTAATAGCATCAAAACTACTCGAGGTTTGCTTTAATTTTTTTATAATATTAAATTTCATCCATTTTCTTTTAGTTAACACTAATACAATCGACCGAGGTTTTTTTGTTAATAATAATGATGACAATGATGATAATAAAGACAACAATAATAATAATAATAATAATAATAATAAAACGACGGCGGCAACGGCGGTAATGACAACGATGACGTAAACAATGACGACGATAATAATAGCAGCAGCAACTGCATTGGGGTAATAGTAATGTTAATGATAACAATGGTAGTACTGGCGACCACATATTTTGTGAAAAGAAATTTTATTTTTCCGCTATTCCTTATCTTTGAGCAAGGAACATTCCTTGTGTAATGCGTAACATAGTAATAGGTACAAAAAAAGATAACGAATTCCTAAAATGTAAATCATTTAAAAAAATTATAAAAAAAATTTTTAAAATTATAAAAAAAAAATATTGTTGTAGTAAAAAACCTTTTATACATAAATCATCATGTCCAACAACAATCCTCCTGGTAATAATAATAAAAGTGAACTGCCACTAATGCCAAAACCAATTGCGATGCCAACATTCTTCTAATAATTATCCTAATAACCAAAATGACACTACTCATCGTTCTTTAAATGAACAACCATTCATAAAAAAACCGAAAAATGACGGAGGAAAATAATGAAAATTAATAATAATGACGTTATCTTTTCCGATTAGAATTTCAGGCTATGATTTTTTATAAATAATGATTATAAATAAATACTTTATCGAACTTATTTGTATATTAATTAGTATTTATTTGAAGTTGCTTAACGGTTCAATATAATCAAAATAAAAAAAATTCACACATATTGAGCTTTTAATGTTTAACCATGTGTATGCGTTTGTGTGTATATCCATTGGAAACTATATGATCAAAACCATATTACAGATTAACAATGAACCCTATATATCACGATAATACGTAATATATTTCTCTGGTAATGAATGGAGTGAACAAGCAATTACATGATTGAGAATTTTCATGGTAAATTACCTTAATTTTATTTTTTCGAATCTCACATATCATGGCTATTGTGCTGTATTTTTTTTGTAATTCTGTAATACAATTGCATTGTAATTGCTGTATATAACCGTTATGATCGAGAATTAACCCCTCCAGTAATTGTTTTTTTATATTTCTAAGAGAAATAGTCTCTTATAATTGTAATTTGTTTTTTTAATAAAGATGCTCATATATTTTATTGGAATAAGGAAATTAAATTTGGAAAATTTATTTGAGGTTTAAGTTCTCGAAGAGCTTTAACATTAATATTAAAACTGCGATTAAAAAGTTATGGCATGGGATCAGGAGCATACAATAACGGAAGACGTGGTGGATTATTTAATGTAATAGCTAATTCATTGTAATGCCTGCCCATGAAATTTAGTTATTAAACGTGCTATAATCGGAGTTTAATATACAAAAATCAAAATTCAGAATGCAAAATTTCATAGCAGACGTAGAATAAAATACTCTTAAATTTTTAAGGCATTTAAAGTAAAATTGAAGTGAAAATGTGTTATCATCTTTGAATGACGGTAGCTTTACTTAGATAACTAGCGCCAACTGTAATTTCTCTTAGAAAAATTATGTCTGTAAAAAAGCATTTTCACAATTTAATATTTTAATAAAATAAAATAATTCTTTTTCGTTTAATATTAATAAAAACATTGAAATTAACATAGATCATCAAATAAATTACGTGGAAATTTTTTTTTGAAAATTATCATTAAATGAAATAAAAAACACTTTCCCAAAAATTAAGTTTAGAAAACTAAAAATTTTCACTGACTGCTCATATCCACTCCTCTCTAAGAGCTCTGCAAAAGAAGATAAAAGATACTATTATCTACAACGGGTTGAAGTTTGGAAAACCTCGGATTCCAAAAAGGGATTTTTTTTCTAAAGCTCTCTAAACAAAAAGGATAACGAATCGTAGCACCGATTCCAACTAGCTTCTTTCTTATTCTATGGTTGATGGAAAGGACATACAACGAAGCCACCAAAACAAAACTCTCATATTGGTATTAAGGTTTCCGTCCAAACTATTTTCGAAAACTTAGCTCCGAACGGATCGAGTGAACTCGAAAACTTTTCAGACTGTACCTTGTGGTCAAGTTATTGGATTGCATTGGACAATCTATCATAATTTTATGCAACTGACGCAAATGCAAGACTCAATTCGTGTTTCATGACTAGAGATGGGCAGATCAGTACTATACGTATAATACTATACGTATAGTGATACGTATAGTGCGTATAGTTCTA